AAAGAGTAGTGATAATGACCCTAGGAGAAGCTTATCTTAGGTGGATCATCAAAAGAATTTGTTAAAACTAATAATGCTGATGAGGGAAAGAAAATAAGGAAACAAAAATTGAGGGAAAATTGATAATTGATTGTGAGAGAAATATACATTTTTCATATGATTCACTATTAATAGATATATTAAATGCAAAGAATACAGAGATACCTTCACTCCTCATTCCTTCTTGTCCCTCATATTTTACCCTTTGAGTTGATGTAATTCATTTTCTTCCCATTCATTCGCAGTCTTCTCTTATTCAGATTGAAAACTAGTGTAATTTATGATATTCCAAGACCTGAGGTTGCAATCTAATACACTGGTATGAAAATAGATGTCCAAATAACAAGCTAGTGCATTCAATTAGTCACAGTGATCTTGGTCGATGGGGATCATTCTCTGTGTAGTAATCTATGGGGAAAGAATGAGAGCTTGTGTTCATACCTCTGTCAAAAGATTTCAGTCTTCTCCCTCTCTTTTACAACCATCACTTAGAGGAGGCCAAGTAGTCCATAAGATGCAGATTCCTCCCTATCCGTTCCAAATGCCATTTTTGCACACTTTGTACAGGGAAGAAGTAATCTGGGTAAATAAATAAAAACTTCTTATTATAATAGACATCTATTTATATAAACCCAGATGAAAGCGTTTCTACTGTGATCGGTGTGATTCATTAATGTTCTAGGTCCCTTTATCTCCCTCCACACACGAGTCATTAAAACATTGAAAGGACCTCTATCTGCTCATTAAATCCATATTCAAAGATCGTACCCTTCCGAGAGATAGTTTCCATCCTTGGAATCGCAACCTACAAACTAGAACTGAGGCTCAGTTTAGCTTTCCCCGGTGGAGAAGTCATGGAGTTTCCCTTTTAGAGACTTTCCGTCATCAACCTACTTGGGTTCAGCTTCTGCTATCACTTGGCTACTTGGGATCTACATCTTTTTCCTCCGACAACCAAAAAACCTTCTTGATTACGGCCGATGGGCGATTGTAACTGGGGCGACCGACGGCACTGGAAAGGTCATGGCCTTCGATCTGGTCAGACGAAGTCTTACTCTGATCCTCGTTGGTCGGAATGCAGATAAGCTGAAGCACGTCACCGGAGAACTTAGGGCCGAAGTGCCGACTCGTGTAATAGTCAATGATTAATTACTGATGTTGACTTGTGTATTTAATCCAAAATATTTAACATGGTAATTTTAATCATCTAAGACTAAATAATATGCTGGTTCAATCGTCAAATTGATTAATAAATCAAAGTGATTTTCTACTATCTCGAAAATCACCAAGGTGACTGTGAGCTGGGCTTGTAGGGTCAGAGAGTCGTACCTACCATTGATGACAAGGTGTGTCCTCTTTTCTTGGGAATTGGTTCTTGTGCTGCTTTCGCCTAAATTGTTCCAAATTGTTCTGTGCGCAGTGCATAGAAAGTTCATCTCCGTTGTGTAGAGAGGTAATGCTTACTCCCCCCCCCCCTCCTCTTTCTCTTCGTCCCTCTGCCTCTCTCTCTCTGTGTACCTCTCACTCACTTGTGCCCTTAACTCCGTTTCTCTGTCTCTGTCTCTCTCTTTCTCACTGAGTTTTCTCTCCGTCCCCTTGTCTCGTTCTCCCACCCTCTCTGTCTGTAGTAGTCGGATGCAGCCTGAGTGTGTGCCTCTGTCGATCATTAATGCCGTTCTCTCTTCTTCGTGCCTTCTTCTTCTGGGAGCCTGTATTTTGACTAACAATCGGCCTCTCTCTCTCTCTCCCCCCTCTCGCTTCTCTCATTCATTAATTCATTAATGACAGATGCGGATGAAATAAACCAGCGATCTTATGCGCGCCCCAGCAAGATACATCCATGTAATGGACGGCGAGCATGGTACGTGGCTCTTGTCCCCCAACCCCGCTTCCTTGATCGTGTAGTAAATTATAACATATATGTAGTAGAAATGAGTGAGTAGATGCATTCATTGTGATGACGAACCATTGAGTTGGTTCACAACCAAAGCTAATGCACTATTTGGGGATGCATCAATACAGTGGGTAGTTTTGGATCACCTATTCTCAATTTGGATAACAAAACTTAGTCCAGAAATTGAAACAGCGATAGCTCTGTCACTGTTCAAGTTCCAGTTCAGCCTTTAATAGGACTTGACTCGGAAGCCATGGACAACTCTCAGGATCTCCGGCTGAAATTTTCGCCGCCGTCTCTCAATCTCTCTCATCATTGCAGATGGAGGGCTTGCTTCGCGGGTTTTCTCTGGGCTTGATCCACATCCGGGGCTTCTGGAAGTCATCGAGCTGTCACGTTGACGACTTTAATTAAACATTACTCAAAAATTGTGAGGGAGTAAAGTTCTGAACACGGGTTGGGGATGAGGCAAAACAAATTTTACTGCAACCAAGCAAGGCACGCCAGAATCAATAAATGACGCCCGGACGGCGTATGGTTCCCCAATATCCATGTGGGATGAGGCCAATCAATATCAAAGTCAATTAATGTTCCCATGGGGTGCTTGTCATAAGCCGGTAGCTTTCATTTTCAATTTAATTCTTTTCATGAGGTGATCTTTAGTGCACTTCGTTGCCTATCCGTGACCTAGCTTGGTTTATGAAGGAGATCAGCCTTGAAGTATTTATGTGACGGAAAGGAAGGAGAAGGGAACCTTTCTTCACATTGTGTGAGCACATTCAGCAACGGGCTGGAGAAAGTCCTGAGAGGGGTCAGTAAATGTTAACTTATCAATCTGAGAACTTTCAGTGGAGATTAAAATCTATGGCTTGTAATCTATTTCAAATTCCCATTGAGAGAAAACTTTCTTGATAGATGTCCGTTTCCTTTAGAGCGGCTCTAAATTCTCTTACAACTTCCCGCAAATAGTTTCATGAAAGAACCCTCTCTCTCTCTCCCCTTCTCATTCGCTGGCTCGCTGGTTCTCTCTCATTTGAGAGAAGGGATACCATGTCGATCGGGGTACGGTCTGTGTATAAAATCGTTGAGCGATCCAAGGAAAGGGATAGATTCGCTCGCGTGCCACTCGCGCGTACGCGACCGCGTACATATGAACACTGACGTTGATGGAGGAAGTAGGATGAAAGCAAAGAGAGAAAGGGAGGCAAGGAGAGAGGGGTGGCTTGAGAGGGAGAGGGGTAGTAAGAAAGAGTGATAGGGAGGTTGTTAAAAAGACAGAGACAGGAGTAAAAGAGAGACAGAGAGAGTGTTATTAAGAGGGAGAGAGGGACCGAGAGGAAGATAGCGAGATATAGACGAGCAGGCAAGGGCAGTGTGTATGCATGTGTGTGTGTCTCTGTGTGCGTGTGTGTGTGTGTGAGAGAGAGAGAGAGAGAGAGAGAGAGAGAGAGAGCATCTACTACTAATATTTCTTTGCACCTGCCTGCAGAGTAGAACCTCCCCCAGTCGAATGATTTCTGGCGGAAAGCTCGACTAGACCGTTTAATTTAGACTAGTTCATCTATTTAGAAGTGAGAGAACAGCCTGGGACAGTTGAAGAACAAGATTGGAGCTCTTCTTTGGAGGGAAGTTTCAGTCCCAACCCTCAAGGGTTCTGCTTCTTTCATCTGTTGGAGCGTTCGCTGTCTGAAGGTTCTCCTTCTGTGTCCTCAAATGGCTCTACATCTTCTTCCTCCGCCCCGCTAAGAACCTCCTCGACTACGGCCGATGGGCGGTCATCACCGGCGCCACCGACGGCATCGGCAAGGCACTCGCTTTCGAGCTGGCTCGCCGAGGCCTCAACTTGCTCCTCGTCGGGCGAAACCCCGACAAGCTCAGCGAAGTCACCGGCGAAATCAAGGCCCAGGTCCCCACCGTTGAGGTGCAGACTGTCGTCGTCGATCTCTCCGGTGACCTGTCCGAAGGAATCCGAAACCTGGAGACGGCGATCGAGGGGATCGACGTAGGGGTTCTAGTGAACAGCGCGGGGATCTCGTATCGTCACACCATGTTCTTGCATGAGGTGGAAGAGAATCTTCTGATGGGCCAGCTGAAGGTGAACCTTGAGGCCTTGACAGCAGTCACGAAGGCAGTTCTGCCGGCGATGCTGAAGAAGAAGAGGGGGGCCATCGTCAATATTGGGTCCGGCTCGACCGTGGCTTTACCATCTCACCCCCTCCTGGCCGTTTACGCCGGGACAAAGGGGTAAGTCCTTTCCCCTCGCACTCCTGTTCTTCATTTCCTTTGTCCAGGTATATGGATATTTGGATGAGACCATTTTTTACAAGATCAAAACTACAAATATCGATATTGTCATCAGAAATAATTCAAGAAATGAACATACATATACAGAACCCAGAAGTCAATAACCCTTCTCTCTTACCTTCCGCTGGACTCCAGGCATTGCGTGATGCATATGATTTGAAATAGTATGCCTTGCCTTGAAATAGTACTTTAGGATCTATTTAGAATTCGTACAGGATGAGACCTTTGCCTGTTACACTCTTTCGAGAAGAGCAACATTGGTGTTTTAAAAATGTTTCAAATTTAAGCTAAAGCCTGTGTTCCATAATTTATCCTTACAACCTTCATATAATCTATAGATTTTATAAAACGTATTCTAGAAGTCTGCACGAAATCCATTGGATGTCCTAGAACGCAATACTATCCGTTTACCCAAGACATTTCACTCTAAGCTTGCATAAAAAAAATTATTTCTATGCTTTTTGACAAGATTTTAACTATGGATTCCCTAATCGTATTTATCTTGTTTTTCAGCTATGTCGATAGTTTATCAAGATGTTTGTTCATAGAGTATAAGGAGGAAGGTATCCACACTCAATGCCAGGTAGCTTAGTCTCTTCATTTCTTGCTGTATATTTATTACATTTGCCTCATCCACGTCCACGTATGCTGTAGACTCTACAGAAACATCTTTTTACAAAAAGTTACACTAAGGTAAAAAGTAATAAATACCTGATTTCCTTTCGTGGGCCTCTTTCAGGTGCCATTTTATGTAGCGACAAAGATGGTGGCGTTCAGACAATCTTCCTTTTTCTCACCGATTCCAACACAATATGCTAAGTCAGCTGTAAAATTTATTGGCTATGAATCAAGATGCATGACTTATTGGCCTCATTTTCTTCAATGGTGTCTCCTTACATTAGTGCCAGATCGGATTATCAATGGCTTCCGACTGCAACATGGTTTTAGTCGGAGAAAGAAATCTTGAAGTTTAGACAAACGGGTTTATTTTCTTTAGTTTTCCTTATGGAGGTCTCCCCAGTGAACTAGTGGAGCTTTATGGTGATTGATCTGGTATATATGTTTGTCTTAATATATTATTCCGAAGACAGTGACGAGACTTTTCTACTTTGAACGGAACATTGTGTCAGACACAAGGAAGATCGATTATGTAGAACTTGTAATTTTGTATGTAAGGTTCTGTATGTGATAATGTGTTTCTCCCATCAAATTTTAAGACGAAAACCTAGAAGTGTGGATGCTTTCTGCGTAGAATAGCTCTACCCAGTATCCATACATGTGAATGTACTTGTAACCATATGAATAACATTTATAACTGATAACCTTTATTGGAAACATTCTGAATGTTAAGTATTCTATGTTCATAGGATGTCCATTCCCCACACCCTTTCCTATTTGTAGTATGCTTTGAAAATAGAATTAGACAATGATATGACAGAAGGGATACAATTTTGACCAAAAGTGTCATAGCTTTAATTTTCCTTGGATAATTTTAAATTTTTTATGTTTGTCATATGTCTATTATTCTACCCTCCCTTATTAGGACTATAGTTTCAAAATGGAATATGATGATATGATCGAAGGGATGTTCACAAAGCCAGCCAAAATTGTCTGGTGAGTTTTAGCCAGCCTTTTGACCAGTAGGAGAAATGTTTGGATTTTCATTCTTCAATTGAATTCACATCGTGACATCCATAGCAATATGACCTTGGGGCTGTGAACGAGTTGATGGGACCACCAAAAAGTATTTATTACCATGGGTTATTAATGATTTCAAATATTGATTTTATGAATTAACTCATGATAAACACATCAAAGATCCAAGAAAATGACTCTTTTCCAAAGGGGTTCGGATAAACACGTCATCATATATGTAGGAGAGCAATAAATGAAATAAAATAATGATGAAGTGAGTATCTGCAACGAATAATGCAAAGGAAATAACATTACCGAATGAATTTTCTAGGATGACAATGAAAACATGATGATGACTCTCTGGAAAATTCTGCAGTGTCTTCAAAAGAAATGAAAAAATAAAAACAACGGTAACATGAGGTGGAGAAGCGAATTTAAGGGCCTGAGTAATAAAAATATCTTTTAAATTTAAGGTGGAGAAGCGAATTTTCAAATTACGATGTACACTCAACTGATGGGAGAGCTTTCGAAATTGAAATATATTTTAAGTGTGGAATAATTTTTTTCAGAAAGCTTTACCTCTCAGCAGAACGTAATGTACTGTTGTCTGCCATCTCTCTTTTCATCAGTTACCCTGTGATCCTTCTCTATGTCTCTGTCTGTCTCTCTAACTCTCTCTCGCTCCCCTCTCCGTCTCTGTCTTTCCACTTAATTTCGGTGAAACTCCTGTCCCATGTTTGAGTGTGAATCACTGGTTTCAAAGAGATCTCTCTGTCTGTCTGTCTCGACACATACGTATGTCTATCTATATTTACCAGATAAGCATATTCCAGCACTCTATTGCAATGTGAAACGAGATTTCGTTCATCGAAATTCTGACGTCCCAGCCGTCGCGGCCTATCCTTTACTTCCCCCCTGGCACACTAAATAAATGGCATATGTACCTACATATGTTAATTATTTATTTTCTCTCTATTCATTCTATAACTATCGAGGTACGATCGGCAGTCATCACAAAAATAGGGGAAGCCAATGGAACGCTCGCTCCTAGAAACCCTTCAGTCCCAACCCTCTTGAGTTCTCCTCTGCTTGTCCCCGGGTATACTCTCCACGTTGAGGTTTTCCATCTCCATCCTCCAATGGTTTTACATCTTCCTCCTCTCATCGAAGAATCTCATCGACTACGGACAGTGGGCGATTGTCACCTGTCCAATCGATGGGATTGGCAAGGCCATGGCCTTTGAGCTGGCCCGGCGAGGCCTCAATCTCGTCCTCGTCGGCCGGAATCCCGACAAGCTCAGCCGAGTCTCAAGCAAAATGAAGGCCGAAGTACCCGGCGTGGAGTTGAAGACTGTCGTCATTGACTTGTCCGGCGACCTCAGTGAGGGGATAAGAAATCTGAAAGACGCTATCAAGGAGATCGACGTGGGGATTCTGGTGAACAACGCAGGGCTTTCACTGATAAAGCCGATGTTTTTCCACGGGATTGATGAGAAGATATGGGGGAAAATCGTGAGAGTGAATCTAGTCACGCCGACGGTCGTCACCACGACGGTATTGCCGAGTATGCTTCAGCGAAGGAGATGTGCCATCATCAACATTGGCCCCGGATCGACAGTGATTCTGTCGTTCCCGCTATATGCTGTATATACCGGGATCAAGGGGTAAGCTCTCTCCTCCATCTTCGGTTTGTATATGAACATGGTGAGCTCCAGCTTACGTTGTCTAACCCGAGCCTTGGCAAGCCCAGTCTAGTCCAAGCTAAACTTTAGTTAGTAATTTCTTGAATAATTTTAGCTTGTGCTGTGCTTAGTTTCCTGCAGGACACGGACCCTTCACCTGGTTGCCGCGTTCTATATAAATATACTGGGGAACACCTATACCCCGCCACTACTGTCCTCTTGATTGCCGCGTTCGGGACCCTTCACCTGGACACGGACCATGTTGTTTACTGTCCTGTTTCCCTCCGATCACATATGAGGCAGCCGGCCCTACATCATGGTAATTACTCGTACGTCTTGGCTCACGTCTTAATCGATGGATTGGGATTTTGGGCTTCTCTTCTTCAGTCTTTAATTTCTGGTTCCAAGGCTTTTATTTTCTTTTACAGAGGTTAGGTTTATCTCTTAACGTAACATACATCTTTTGACTTCTTTTCCAATATGTCTTCGCTCATTCTTCTGGTTTTGTTTCTCTCCCTTTGTTATTTCGACTCATCCAAAGCTGCTGAGTTATGCTTGTAGTTATTTCACTTTCACAAGGGATATTGTTAACCGTTTTCTCACGAAACCTGTGATTCTTTTATTTGTTTGAAAAAGGGTGAAAAGAATCCTGTATTTCCTATGACAAAGGGATCTCAGCCGTATTTCTTCACAGATCAGATTCGGTTTCCCCTATCTATAGTACAATATCTAGTTAAGGTACATTATTAAAAATTGGGCAACCAAATAATATTAGAAAGAATAATCTTATCAATCATTCTCAGTAGAAATTTCTAATAATTTCTTCTATTTTTGCAACACGAATTTCTGATTCGGTTGAAAACTTCTGCACTTGAAAGCTACTAGTAAAACCATCCCTATATTTTGCTTTACTGTGTAGTTGAAATAATATTTTTCAGGCCAAAAAAATACCAGTAAAGAATATCCTCGGTTGAAAAGTCAAGATACGGACAATACCTTGAAAGGCTAATGAAACTTGAGGAATGCATAAAATAGAAAACATTTTGGCCTAGTAGAAGCCTGCTAGAATCATTTATAACCCTTATTTTCTTAGCTCTATTTCTTATTTATATGGGATAAGATAGTGCTTGGAATTCTTAACATTTATCAGGTACAATATTAGTCTTCCCAAGAGATTGCACATCGAGTAAAAGCAGAGTGGGATCCACGTTCAAGGTCAGTTAAACATAATGTTGTACCCTTATTCCTCAAGACTAAATATAAAGATGCTATTTTCCTACCATGTTTCCTACGCTTTATGTAATTCCTGCATTCATAATATTTTCTTCTTTCCAGGAAAATACCCTTGACAATATATTTTAATATGAATCAAGTACTACTTCGCAGTAGGTAAATCAATGGATCACTTGCAGTAGAATCTGCGTGTTCTTGCATTCCGTTTTTATTTCCTTAATGGTTCAATGAATATTTTGTCAGCCAGATTGATGCTTGCGATGGGAGATTATTTTGATAATGTACCTACAGTGACATCCACGGCTGGTTAGTGGGTGTGGCATTATCTAGCTTGAGCCCGGTTGACTTTTAAAAGGCCTAGGGCTCATGTCGTTACAGCATAGTGCGAAAAACACTACTTCTAGGACAGATCATTTGAAGTCTTGAATCGGGGAAAATAAGTCAGACCTGATCGTCCCATGTACACATGTACATGGACGTTACGGATGAACTCACAAAGAGAGAGAGAGAGAGAGAGAGAGAGAGAGAGAGAGAGTTGGGGGGTGGGTGGGGCATGTCTGAAGATGGATCCTACCGAACTCCTACGCCGGTACTGAGAGGTCTGTGCCTACTATCTGGCAGTCTAGTTAAAGCAGGCTTTCTACAGAAGTATTTCACCAGTAGATTGATAATATACCCTAGAGTTGAACACTGTTATTTTCTTCATTCAGACAGTCATTTACAACATTTAACAATCCAATATTGACCTAGGTGTGGTGTTGGGTAGACAAGGGGAATGCGGTCTAACTAAACTCATGGATTCTAGTAAATTTTTGCACTTAAAATCATTCGAACTATTGATTTGGTTTTATTGTAACAATGGATGTTAATTGGCCGATCATCTGAAGTCAAGCCTATTTGATAAGATTTCGGCTAGATTGTTATGCTGACGGGACTAGGCCTCATACAGCCGAAACGTCTGACCTTTTATGACCATAATAGCGCGGCTATTTAGTGAAAGTCTGTTTGGCAGTGTGCCTCTCTTTCTCCATTTCTCTCTCCTCTCTTGAACTCTATTTTCTAACATTTTGTATCCATGTATCCTTAATTGAAAATGTCCAAGCACGATCTGGCGTTGGATTCTTTTGCTAATTTCCCTTTTCTTCTCGCAGATTCCATTCCATGTAGCCACAAAAATAACGCCAAGGATGAGGTCATCATTCTTCGTTGCCACTAATCACAATATACTCGTTCAGCGATACAGTGCATTCATTATGGGCCAGAATGTATACCTTACTGGAGAATCTTTATCTTAAATATTTTCAACAATTGCAAACTGGAATGGACAATTTAGCCTTTATTTCTCATCATATGTTGGTACGTGGTAATATCATGAAAGATGGTGATCCAATCCCTTCGAAATTTTGCACTATAGGCATTTGATTTGCTGAAGCATATGATACTTTGGAGAGCGAAACAAATTATGTTCCAATAGATTCCTTGTGATACGTTTATGCAGAAAAAACATTACTGTCAATTATCCTGATTACTATATTGATTTTGATTTTTTCTTCTATTGAGAAGAAACCAAATCAACTAATGAGATTTTGAGACCATGATAACTATAAATTACTTTAATTTTAATTAAATAATTAAGAAATTCTTAGAACTGACCAACATTGTCGCAAGACATTTTTATGGACGAAGTGTGTGAACTATGTGAGGCATATAACGAGCCTTTTCATGCTGCTGTACAAAAGTCTAACACCTGCACCATTAAATCCTAAGTCATCTATGTGCAACCAAGGGTTGTCTGATTTTGTAAAGAATTAAAATTTTAAAATTGTAATAACTTTTTTAATGCACCATAAATTAGATTTGAAATATTTTTACTTTATGGCTAAAATATTTGATAAGTTACTTAATGGGTTTAAATACTACTATATAAATACGTTGAACTAGCTCAGTTCTGGGTAAAAGCAAACCACAATATGAAAGTAAGCCGAGGAAAGACAGCAAGCAAACTACTTTGTGGTTCAAATATTTCATAAGTTCATTAATGTGTTTTAAAAATTGTGTATGAATAGGTTGGATTGGCTTAGTTCCGGGTAAAAGTAAACCACACTATGAATGCAAGTTGCAGAGAGACAACGAGCAACCAAGCTTTTGAGTGAGAGTTAGAGAAATAGAGAGAGTAAGAGAGGGAGCAAAGAAGATGTGTGAGGGTAAAAGAGGGACAGGAGAGAAGGGAGGGTCTCTGAGGGGGGGTAAGGAACACAGGGAGGAAGAAAGAGAGAGAGGGAGAAGGAGAGGGAGAGGGACACGAGAAGCAAGAGGCAGAGTAAATATTAATATACATCAACTAATTTAGAATTCTCCTTGTGTTCAACTTGGTTTTCTATTAATTCATCAAGAAGTTTTTCCTACAAAACTTAGTTTATAAATTTAAAAGTGACAATCTTAATAATAGCGACTTAAGAGTGATCAATCCCACAAGACTTTGATCTTCCTCTCTATCTGATTCTCTCCCTTTGCACACCAAGTTTTGAACTTCTTAAAAATTTTTGATTTGTGTTTCAAGAATAATACTCAGACTTTCTTGAAAAAATCATCAACAAAGGTCAGAAAATAATGAGCAACACCTATCAACGTCACATCAATCAAACCACACACATTTAAATGAATATAATTCAGCACACCATCTATATGATACTTTTCTGCCTTGAATGTCAACTTATACTAACTTTTCATGATATAGTCCTTGTAAAAATTTAATTTACAAGTTTCTACAACAAGTAACAATCCTCATACATGTAGCTTCTAAAAGAGTGTCATCAATTATAAAATCATCTAGTGTCACAATACAAGCTCCACTTACAATTGTACTCTCTTCAAATTTATAAATATTCATTTGTTGACACTTCTGTTTCATCACAATGAGTGATCCCTTGATAATCTTGAGGATCTCATTCTCTCCTATGAAGCAACATCTATTTGCTTCTAATACTCCAAGCAAAATTAAATTCCAGTGCAATGTTAGAATATGACGAATTTTTGTAAGCTCTTAGACCACTCTGTCAAACATCTAAATCTTTACTGAACTAATGTCAACTACTTCTCAAGTTGCATTGTTTCTCATGGAAACAACTCCTATTGTACTCTTTTATGAGTCAAACCAGCTAACACTATGATATATATGATAAGAACAATCAGTATCAAGAATCTATGTGTTCGACAACTCCTCAATTACAACAAAACTAGAATAGACTTCACTATCTTCTCTATCATTAACCTTCACAACATTAGCCGAACTAGATTCACCTCCTACTATTTTATCACTTTGATTCTTCAAACAATCTCTTTGTAAGTGTCCCTTCTCATGACACTTGTGATAAATTTAGTTTTTCAACTAATTTCTTTGTGACTTAGACTGAGTCTTTTTGTCTTTTGACAATTCATTCTCTTTCTACCTTCCACAGTCTCTTCCACCCTTTACATATAAACTTTTATCACAAGCCTTACTAACATTCTTCTTCTAATGATAATACTCCAATAAGTCAATAGTATCTTCAAGAATAAATGTTGTACTACCATGTAATAAGGTCTTAACAAGATGATCATATGAATCAAGAAAAGAAACAAGTAGAATAATAACTTTGTTCTCATTAGAATAATCTAATTTTATACGAAATAAGTCATTAAGTAATTGATTAAAATAATCAATATGAGATGTCAAACCATCTTCATGTGACATACATAACTCAAATAGTTTTCTCTTTAATGTTAATTTACTCATCATCAAATTTAGTACACATTGTTTCTCTAATTTCTTCTAGAGTTTCTATAGATTATATTCATCCATGACCTGTCGAAGAGCTCAATTAGATAGACATGTAAAGATTAATCTGCAAGCCTTTTCTCTATAATCTTCCAATCATTAGTATTGATTTTGTATGGCTTTAGTGCATTCAAAGTCTTATATACAAGTCATTCTGCAATAACGTATCATACACACGATACTCTCAAAGATTAAAGTTAGAAGACTTATCTAATTTCTAGATATAAGTGTGCAGTTTAGAGATCATAATGAATCTAAAAATAATCAAACCAATAGTTTGATACCACTTGTAAGAATAAATATGTAAATATAAGATCACAATAATAGTGAAAAATGAATTTTTAGATATCAATAAGAAAAAATAGAAGAAAAAACATCAAGCTATCAAGAATCCTAATAAGAACAAGCCTTTCACAAGACACCTCTAATCCATGTCTCAATGCCTTTGAGATGACCCACATACTGGAGAGTTAACAATAAACTTGCATCTACTTCTATAAGGACTTCATGTGCAATAGAAGAAAAAAGAGAGACCAAGAAAGAGGAAGAGAGCTAATAGAGAGAGAGGATAAAATCAAGAGAGAGAGAAATAATCTTGACATCGTATTTATAGAAAATAAGAAAATATAATTGCCCCCTAAAAATAGATATCTTGATGTATGTGTAGGTGAGCCCACACATCTTAGAGATGACGGCTTCAACCTCCCTCATTTTCCGCTCCTTCTCTCCTTGGACGACACTTAAACAATTGAGGTGACAACTATCTCTCACTCCTCCGAGTCTCCTGAGTGAGTCGCGAGAGGCTCTCTCACACATGTTGCGAACACTTGAGACAAGAGCTGGCTCCTCGCACATATTTCCCGAATGGGTCAGCCATGATGGACTGACATTGCCAACACTATTGTGATATCCATTATTGCCTCCATGTCGACCTTCACCAGCTCTGTATACATCTCGTCGTCAACCAGAATTCTCACATCGAGAAACTCAATGGCCTGAGCTGTATGCCACACTATGTAATACACTAGAATTTCCACAAGGAGAACCTCAATGGCCTGTTTTAGTTGCCAAATCCCATCTGGGATATCGTTTGAGAGATTGAAGACGTTGGATACCAGTTCAATAGTCGACACTTCCGTCCTAAGTGCTCTGGTGACCGGCCTCAACTTATCCAGACCAATGAGGATCAGATTAAGACCTCATCTTGCCAGCTCGAAGGCCATGGCCTTTTCAATGCCATTTGTCGGCCTAGTCACTATCGCCTTTGGCTGTAGCCCATTAGGTTCTTTGGTTCTTGAAGGAAGAAGATGTGGATACATCTCGGGAAGGAGAAACAAAGCCTTGTGACCTGTACGAGGCTGAGTGATAGCAGCGGCTGCACCCGTGTAGGGTTATTTCATAGTCTCTAAGATGGAAAACTCCATGATTTCTTTCCTGCAGAGACACAAACTGAACCTAGATTCTAGTGTGGAGCCAATCCTAAGGATGGTAACTTTACATCCTGAGAAGGTCTGATCTTATAAGCAATGAATATCGAATTAATTGGGAGACAGAGGTCCTTTCAATTGACCCATGTCCTGAGGGAGAGAGGTACTTTGAACATTAATAAGCCACACCAATCACAGAAGAAATGCTTTAATTATATATATCAGGTTGTAAATAAATAGTCGTCTATTTATTTAACTAGAAAACTTTTTCCTTAGGCAAACAGTGTGTAATGAGATAAGGAGGACTGCATCTTTTAGACTACAGGACCTCCTCTAAGTGGTGATTATATAAGAAAGGGAGAATACTTGATATCCAGATCATTATTATTTTTTAATAGATCTGATGTCCTATTAATTCATCTTGACTAGAAATCGACAATCTTTCATGAAGGCACTTCATCCGTGCATGCGATGCCAAATACCGAGATTTCAAGAAAAGACAATTTCATTAGTTGAGAAAGCTACACACCATAAAGTAGTAGTTAGAAATGTCAGGACAGATGTATGAGCCAGCTTTCCCAGTAGATTCCTGCACTCAAAATGATCCGAGTCAAACAACATCTCTGTGAATTGTTGAATGTACTAGCTTGTTTTTTGGACATCAATTTTCATAGCAGTGTAGTAGATTGCAACTCTCAAGACTCGGAAAATCATACAGCACAGTGGATTCTGTTCCTCAGTTGTTGGGAAAGTCTATAACATAGATCTCCATCTTAATAATGAAAGAAAGAGAAGAGAAGAGAAGAAAATGAACTAAGTCAACTCATAGAATGAAATGTGAGGAACAAGACGGAATGAGAAGCGAAGTATCTCAACAGCTCTATTTCTTTGTGTTTCTTCGTCTCTTCTTTTAATTTATCTATTGATAGTGAACAGTATGAAAAACACATGTTCCTCTCACGATCAATCAATGATTTTTCTCCCTTACCCGTCTCGTCATTTTCTTTCCCTCATTAGCACAATTAGTTCTAGCAAATTTCCCTTGATCGTCCGCCCAAGATAAGCTCCTCCCTTGGTCATTGTCGTTACTCTCTTTCTCTCCCATTATATTCCTTCTCCTTCCACAGTTTGCACTAATAATAGCCACATCAATGATTGTGTGTACAAATTGCATTCGCATTCAAAATAATGGCCGTCCTTTGTGTCGTCGCCTCCTCTCTCTCTCTCTCTGTCTCTCTCTCTCTCCCTGTCAATTTCCACAGATAATGATGAGTGACTCAACGAAATTCAACTCTTGCACGAACAAATTGATTTTTTTCGTCTGTTGATACAGGCTTTATTTTCCCTTTCTTTTACGATAAGAAGAAATAATTAACTCCCTTTATTCATTCCATCCTCAAGCTCAATACGACAAAAGAGTAGTCTCATTTTAGCTGCCCAAAAATTGTAATCTATTTTTTACAAGCATTTTTTTTAGTTGAACTTCTAGGTCACAAAAAAACTGTATCCTTTAAATGATTGTCTTTGCACCTAGACGATGTTCACGTCTAACTAGAAGAATATGTCAATGGAAAAATATTTAGCTGAGTTAGAAAGGGATGATGGGCTAATATCCCTTCTTTCCCAAATAGGAAAGAGATGATAGAGAGCTGGCTGATGGAGAAGGGGGACGGGGCATATACTGATTATTTTTTTGTTCATGACCAGCCTTTATACAGCATCGGTGGGTTACAGGAGATTATTGGGACAGCACGCTGACCGACTTTCAGACCAGAGGGATGATAAGGAGTGAATGTCAGAGGAGAAGAGAGAACGGTAATAAATCAACATCATTAAATAATTTATGTTGGAGTTAAGCACGTGGAATCAGCCTTGAATGGAGTGGTTTTTTTGAAATGTCGCAAGGACCTGAAGCATGGCGTTCCTTATCTATTGTTTTCTCTCTCCTCCTACATCCTTTAATCATGACTATTTATATAACGGTCGAGATGCCAAAACTGTTGCAGTTGTCAAGCAAGTAACTGCCTAAACGGCATCTCTCGCATGTTGTTTCGATCTGGTCCTTTATAAAGACCGGCAGAGAACAAAATCGTGTCTCTTTCGTTCTCCTTTTCCTTGAATCAAATTCTGTGCATTTTTTCTACACTTTTCTTGGTTTTCTTGAGTGTTTTTGGAAGAATCATAATGCAGATTCTTCAATTGGTATCAGAGCATTTGTGATCCAACACGCTTTGACGATGATGGCACTGCAAAAGGGAGAGAGTTCGTCTCAAGATCTTGTGATGTCTGGAGGATTGAAAGGAGCAGAGCCACCTGCGCAGATAGGTGCCTTTCCGATCCTCACCACGCTCAACTACCAGGTTTGGGCATCTCGGATGCGGCTTCATCTTGAAATCCTTGAGCTATCGGATGCCATTGAAATGGAGAACCCTATCAAGCAGAAGGATCAACAAGTTATGTCCATCTTATTCAGCACCATCTTTGATGAGGTTTCATGCAAGTTAGATGTGAAGAAAATGGTGAAGTAGACATGGAATCTCTTGAAGGCTAAAAAATGGCGGAATTCCACGCTTGCGAACAGCACAGATTCAATCACTTCATAGAGACCATGAAAATCTCTCCACGGATGACGAGGATTTGATTCTTAATTACTTCAAAAAGTTGTCTCATGTGGTGATTGAACTAAGAAGTCTCGAAGAGAAGATCACTGATGCAGCGCTCTCCACCAAACTACTGAGATCTGTCTTAGGTAGGTTTGACTCCATCATGACTTCTATTGAATAATTTCAGGCTCTTGACGCGATCTCGGTGGATGAGATTCTTGGGACACTCAAGATTCACGAGGATAAGCTCCATGATCGTTCTATAAAAAGGGAGGAGAAAGCTCCTCTCACACGAGCCATAGGGAGGACAAGCAGAAAGCCACCGCAGATGGAAATTGCGGCAGAGGCAAAGGACGCAAAGGAAGAGGATGTGGCAGAGGAAGAGGAAGAGGTTCCTCTAAAATCGAAGATAGTGATGATGAATCACTCCCCAAAGACAAGTCAAAAGTAACTTGTTACAATTGCTACAGGAAAGGGCATTACTCAAATGAATGTCAGCTTCCGAAGAAGGAGAGACCGAAGAATGATGAAGAAAAGGCTAATGTTGCAAAAGAGCAGATTCAAGAGTCATCTCTCCTCATGGCATTTGAGGAAAATGAGGTACTTCTTCTAGGAATTTCACACTCTAATTTGGGTCAAGGGCTCTGGTATCTTGACACAAGAGCCACCTCACACATGACGGGGGAGAGATCACTCGTCCAAGACTTAGATGAGTCACATTAGGAGAGAGTGAGATTTGGTGATGACTCTCGCATCACATCGAAGGTAGAAGTGATATTTTTTTGAATACAAGAAGTGGAGATCTGATTACTCTATCTAATGTCCTATACACACCAAGCTTAAGAGCTAATATCTGAAGTCTTGGAAGATTGGATGAACAAGGCTATGATATTCACCTACACAATGGAATTCTGACCACTCACAGTCCCCAAGGGAGATTGTTGACTAAAGTTAGAAGAAATTCGGGAAGACTGTATTTGTTGAAGCTCAATATGGTGGAGAATTATTTTCACATTAGAGATGATGCCTCGTGGCTATGGTACAAGAGGTATGGACATCTGAACTTCAGTTCTTTAAAGCTTCTTTCGACACATAATATGGTGATAGGACTCTCGAAAATTCAAGAGGAGGATCTTTGTGTTGACTATGTGAAGTCAAAGTAAAGTAGAACACCGTTCTCATCAGCCTCTTCATTTAGAGCTTCACAACCACTAGAATTAATTCACGGTGATTTATGCGGTCCTATTGATTCTGAAACTCCGGGAGGAAGTAAGCACTTCTTGCTTTTAGTGGATGATCACATAAGACTGACATGGATCTCTTTGCTTAAAAAGAAGTCAGAGGCTTTTAATACTTTTAAGAGTCTTAAATCACTAGCTGAGGCTGAAAAGTCTGTGAAAATCAGTTGTCTAAGAATAGACCAAGATGGAGAGTTCAATTCAAAAGAATTCTCTAGTTTTTGTGAAGAACATGGCATCAAGAGGCAGCTCAGAGTATCTATTCTCCACAACAGAATAGAGTGGTGGAGAGATGCAATCGTACTGTTATAAACATGGTAAGATCCATGTTCAAGTCAGAGAATGTACCTTAGAAATTTTGGGGAGAAGTCGCAAGCACTGTAGTCTTGAGAATCCATGTACCTATTGAATTGAGCTCCAACTAGAAGTCTTGAGAATTTAACTCCATATGAAGCTTGGACTGAGAAAAAACCTAATATTACCCATCTTCGTACCTTTGGGTGTGTTATGTATGTTAAAATGTCAGGTAAAAGTTTGAAGAAATTGGATGTTAGAAGTCTTTTTATGATTTTTCTCGGCTATGAAAGGGGCATTAAAGGTTTTCAAGCTTTTGATCCATCCACTGGCTCTATGCACATCACGAGGGATGCTGTCTTTCAAGAGAAGCGTTGGAATTAAGAGAACTCTAACATGAAGACAAAGTCAGGTTTGAATCTCACTTGCTCGATTTTTAATCCAGATGTTGAGTAGGTCAATGATAGTATTAAACCAGAAGAGATTACCTCTGATGTGGCTGATAAGGAAATAGAAGATGTGCCAGCTAATATTTCTAGCTCACCTGATTAGAGTCAACCTCAAAGATTCAAAGATCTCACTCAGCTCTATGCTAAAACTTGAGAATTAGTAAATGATGATGAAATCTACAATTTTATGCAGAGAATGAATATGAAATATTAGAGAAGCTCTAAAATGTGAAGTTTGGAGAAAAGTTATCGCTGAGGAGTTAAGCCAAATTGAAAAGAACTAGACTTGGAGTCTAATTGCTCCTCATCGTGGGTGTAAGCCAATTGGTTTGAAATGTGTCTTTAAGATCAAAAGAGACCCATCAAGTGAAATACTCAAACATAAGGCCCAACTTGTGGTGAAAGGGTATGTTCAGAGATATGGTGTTGACTACATAAGTTTTTTTCCCAGTAGCTAGGTTAGAGATAATTCGTGTCCTTTAGTCATTGCAGCTCAATTTTACTGGAATGTCCATCACATGGATGTGAAATTTTCTTTTTTAAATGGGAATATTGATGAAGATATCTACGTCAGACAACCTAATGGGTTTTGAGATTGAAGACAATGAGCATTTGATTTATAAGCTGAAGAAGGTTCTTTATGGCTTGAAACAAGCTCCTAGAGCTTGATATTTGAAGCTTGATAAAAGTCTTCAATCATTGGGTTTGACTAGAAGTAGCTATGAATATGTGCTTTACTTCAAAATTCTATCAAATTCTCACCTATGTGTGAGAATTTATGTTGATGACTTGCTCATCACAAGTACTCCTGAAGATGAAGTCGTGAATTTCAAAAGAAGAATGTTAGTAGTGTTTGAGATGATAGATATGGGGTTTCTTTCTTCATATTTGGGAATTCAAGTTGTTTAGCTTGAAGGTGAGATTATTTTATCCCAAAAGTCTTTTGCATTGAAGATACTGAAGACATTTGAAATGCTAAATTGCAATCAGTCTCTCATCCCCCTTAAAGTAAGATCGAGGTTTAATTAGAAGGAAGGCACTGATTTAGATACAACACTATACAAGAGCTTAATGGGTTCATTGATGTATTTAACTCATAGAAGGCCTGATTTGCTCTTTAGTGTGGGTTTTCTCAATAGGTACATGGAGAATCCCACATTTGAGCATCTTAAATGTGTCAAAAGACTGCTCAGATATATCAAGGGGACACTTGTTTTCAATTTGAGATATAAAAAAAGGGAAATTTTTTGATGTAAAAGGTTACTGTGATAGTGACTATGGTGGAAATTCTGAGGAACAGAAGAGTACCCCCGGGTTTATCTTCTTTCTCAGTGGAAATACTGTGACATGGGTGTCCCAGAAATAAAGGATAGTGGCTCTATCCTTGTGTGAGGCTGAATATGTTTCTCTCACACTTGCATCTAGCCAAGGTGTCTAGTTGGCTGACTTTCTTGGCGAATTGACTGGAAGAAGCCTCAAGCTAGTCAAAATATTTGTGAACAATCAATTTGTAATTGAGTTGACCAAGAATCCTATTTTTCACAGTCATTCGAAGCAATACATTTTTAGCCGTTAAATCCTGTGTAAAGCCCTCTTAACACGTTTCTTACAGCTGCTAGTAACTCAGTTTGCTAACACTTTCGACACCGCATCTTAGACAATCTCGTCATTTCAAATAACAAACTTCTCTTTATCGATATCACATCGATCTAGGGTTTGTGCATTAGTTCGCAGACTACCGTCCACTTAAGTTTTGTCGGGATAGGCTCCTATTTATTCGAACCATGTGATTTATCTCCTCCAGTCCTGAAATCATGGAGGTTCCCTTCTCAGACACTCTGCGATCACAACCTAGATGGGTTCTCCTTCTATTATCACTTGGCCTCTTCCAAGTCTCGAGGCTTTCTCTGGCCTTCCTCCGATGGGTCTACACCTTCTTCCTCCGACCACCAAAACACCTTCTCGACTACGGCCGGTGGGCGATTGTCACGGGGCCAACAGACGGCATCGGAAAGGTCATAGCCTTCGAGCTCGCCAGGCAAGGCCTGAGTCTTATCCTCGTCGGTCGGAACCCCGATAAGCTGAAGTCGGTGTCCGCGGCACTTCAGGCCGAGTTCCGGAGCGTCGAGGTCGTGACTGTCGTGTTTGACCTCGCTGGTGACATCCCCGACGGCGTCCAGCGGCTAAAGATGGCCATCGAGAACCTCGACGTCGGGGTGCTCGTTAATAACGCTGGTGTGTGTTATGATGCTCCCAGGTACCTGCATGAGCTCGAGGAGAAGATGTTCACCGATTTAGTTAAAGTTAACATGGAGTCGTTGACGGAGATTACCAGGGCGGTGCTGCCGCAGATGGTAAGGAAGAAGAAAGGCGCCATCGCCAACCTCGGCTCCGGGTCTGTAGTGTGTAGTGATCCTTCCATCTTACCCGATGTTCACTGTGTATACTGCAACCAAAGGGTAGGCCAAATTCATTCTTTTTCGTCCAAGGTCATCATTATCTTTAGCATCTGCCACCTCTTGGCTTTCGCTTCAATTTTCGTTTCATATTTCCTCTTTTCTTCTCTCTCTCTATCTCTCTCTCTCTCTCTCTCTCTCTCTCTCTCTCTCTCTCTCTCTCTCTCTCTCTCTCTCTCTCTCTGTATACCTACCTCGCGTGCGCTGTTACTCCGTTGTCAATATGCTTAGGATTTAGTTTCCTTTACACTTTTTATGTCTGCTTCCTCTTATATTTCCGCTTGCAGTTCTTCCCCCTTGTTTTTATACATATTGAGACATCTTACTTCCGTGTCTATTCATGATCTTATTCGGTCATTACCCTAGCAAATTTGTGTCCTTTCTTCCAAACTATCGGCAACAGATTTCGTATTTTGTTCAAAAACTGAGTAACATATTTGACGGAGCGAGGCTCGAAGTTTATTCATTAATATTGTACAAGGTCTTTTCTGATTCATATACTAATTCCATCTAATTTTGTATCAGTTACGTCGATGCTTTATCTAGAAGTTTGCACCATGAATACAAGAGCACTGGAATTGACATCCATTGCTGGGTAATAGTTCGTATTCCATAACTTTGTCCGTCTGTGTCTATCTTGCTCGTAAACTAATATCTCTTTCCGAACATTGATTAGATCTATTTGTCTGAACTAGGTTCGATAGGAATGACTTAATATGTTTATTAGTACATTGCCCATAAGACTAAGAAAGAAAATAGGCGGGTACTTTGAACAGATTATAAAATTTTCTATCCAAATAGCTAAATATATGGCTTTCGTAAAACTATCTAACCCTTTTTCCAACATATGATAGATGCACTAAGACCAGATGATCATTTTGGTACTGTTATTTGGTTTCCACTTGACAACTATTGGTCATTGTTTAGACTCCAGCTTATCCAGGAACAAAAATGGTCCCAGACAAGAGGCATTCTTTTTTCAACTCGACACCAGAGGAGTATGCACCTCCGGCCGTACGTGCCATCGGCTATCGGACCTCGATCCTCCCTCACTGGAGGCACTCTATGTTAAACTATCTTGCGAAACTGGCACCGGATAGTATCCTAAACGAATGGTTTTTAGGTGATGCACTGAATCAAAGGGCAAAACATTCATTAACGTGAGATAAGCAGTTCATTACTCACTCTGCTTCAAAGCAGGTTTGCCATATGGTTCATTTTGTACTTTTGCAGAATAGATTATAGGCTTGGTCCTTGATCTCGTTCCAAGTTGCTTCAATGGGCTCATAAATGGTCTTCCAAGTTGCATCAAATGCCATTCAATGGATGTCTGAGCAATAAGTCGTGGCCAACGTCTGCGGGCACGGCTCGGAATCATGGCGGGCGGGGTAGTCGTTGGGGAAGGGAAAGAGAAGAAACTAATGCAGTCAGTGAAAGAGGAGGCCAGCTTGCTCTGGGAACTGGCACATCGGTTCCGGAGATAAACTCGGACGGCAGTAGGACCGAGATCAGAACTTCCTGACTGAACCTGTTAAGAGCAGAAATTATGACGTTCCGAGTCTATTTCTGTTCGACATATTAGCGCACATCGCCGATAATTTAACCTTCTATCACCTGAATTATTTTTATTTGAACTTAAAACATCCTCCACGTAATCATCACATGGTTTTAGTCGGATAGTTTGATTAATCATCATTTATCTATCCGCGTGAGCACGTGTTTAAATTGAATAATCTGGTTACGATTCTTTCAGAAACACTCAAGAAACCCTCAAGAAAAGTATAGAGAAAATGCACAGAATTTGATTCAAGGAAAAGGAGAACAGAAGAGACATGATTCTGTTCTCTGCAGGTCCTTATAAAGGACCAGGTCGAAACACTATGCGAGAGATGCCGTTTAGGCAGTTACTCGCTTGACAACTGTCACCGTTTTGGCATCTCAACAGTTATATAAACGGTCGTGATTAAAGGATGTAGGAGGAGAGAGAAAACAACAGATAAGAAACGGCGCACTTCAGATCCTTGCGACGTCTCAAAAAACCGCTCCATTCAAGGCTGATTCCGCGTGTGTAACTCTAACAAACTCCTTAAGCTCGCGTCTGATCAACTACAGCTTGAACTCCAGTCAGTGTGCGGAAAACAGCAGACTTGACTCGTCCAAGGGGCTTCGTGAGGATATCCGCTCGTTGTTCTTCCGTCGGCACATGAGCACTTCAACCTCCTTGTCTTCAACGCATTTCTTGACATAATGGTACACTCAGACAGTCAACGTGGAACATGTGGTTTCCATAAGTTTCTTTAGAAAATGTCTGTATGTATTGATTATTTTGTCATTAATGCACGTGTTGCCACCTGCCAAAGCTTTAATGAGAGCGAGATAATAGTTTGACTTCCACTATCCTTTCCGGCCGCTCCCTCTCTCTTTCCGTCAACTTTTCACGCTGATCTATTTTGTACTGTCTTGCTTTTGCACGGTGCGTATTTATTGCTTTCGCAGTAATTCTTGCCATCAATGTAATATTTCCCGATCCCATACGGCACCAAATTTCTCTGTTAGATCGTAATCAGCAACTAGGTCAAATCCATATCGTCAACTATCAGCTTCCATTTTACCCTGCGCAGTCTTAGTCGTGATCAAATTAATCTATAATAACAAACGGATGGCTGCAAAATATAACTAGCTGTATGCATTAGAGAGAAGTTACTCGCCTCCTATTGGAGTCAATCTAAGGGGACTCACCCTTCCACGCTCAATTAAAAAACTAGGAATGCGGATCAAGAGAAACGATTTGACAGACTTTTGACATTAAGTTTTTTTGCATTTATCGACAAATTGGTAGCAGACGGAGAAAACTCTTGGGATATTGACGTAATACATGTCAAAGGTTACACCACATGTTTAAGAAACTTTTTGGGGAAGTAAATCTAATTGTGGAGCGTCCATCTTTTAGGAGGCCCGGTAATATATGTTCGTAATGCTTGCATATTCCCCTTAAACAAAATAACTGCTCTTCAAGATCCTAAGAATAGTCCAGGCACATAAAGATCCTTCAACGTTGATGGTGGATGTAGATCGGAAGAATTCATCACGCCCTTAGAATGAATGGATAAACCGTACACTTGGGAGCTGATTGAAATGATCCTCTTTCTAGTGTCAGTCACAAACCTGTCACGCACATTCTTGATTACTTGTATTTTCTTACGTAGACAATTATTTAAACTTTGGAATTCCTTTCTCGCGATTTGACCTCGTATCATTAGCCAGACATTTGACCTCGTATCATTATTTAAACATTTGCATTGCTACTGGAAAGAGAACCAGTATCCTCCTTCAGACGTTCTGCATGTGACTAGTTTTACGATCTGAAGGAGAAATGATGTTTCCTGCAAAAATTGTTCCAATTTGATTGAACTACACAAATATTCGTTCCAATTACCTGGGGAAAAGCACAGATGCATATGCGAGAGATGTTATCTTTGTTCAATATCTTCTTTTGGGCTGCAGTATTTCCCCCTTTTCTGGGAATTTATTGACCATGTTGGTGGGCATCTTCCACGGCTTCGTGCGTTAATATGTGATGAGCACGTCCGTCGTCGCTTGTGTTGTGTGTGAGGCTATGCCCTTGTGCGCGTATACCTCGGTATTTCCTACTCACGTCGGGCATTGGGCCTGTGTCTTTCTGGATTTCTAAGACATTTTAATTCTCAAGTCCATTGCTCACGAACTCACTGTACATTTAACCTGTGCATTGGGAAACGAAATATGTCCTATGGAGAGCATCAAAGCAGATGTGCTTCCGGCACCAGCCTGCTTCCTAGTTTAATCAGTATTTCCGGCTGAATAATTTGTATGAATATTCGTATTTGGAATGAGTTATTCAATCGATTTTCACCCAGCGCAGATAGAATCAGATTTCTCACTTAGTTTCCTGAGCTTGAGGACGGAATGAATTAATGGAGTTAATTATGAACAGACGAAAAAACTCAATTGGTCAGTTCATGAGTGGAATTTCGTTTAGTCACTCATCTTTAGCTGTGGGAATTAACGCGCAGAGAGAAATAGAGGCGACGACACAGAAAGGCCATTATTACGAATGCTGCCATCGCAGTTTATCTTCGCAATTGTTGATGTGGCTGCTTTTAATGCAAACGGTCAAAGGAAAGGGAATATAATGGGAGGGGAAAAGAGTAGTGATAATGACCCTGGGAGGAGCTTATCTTGGGCGGATCATCAAAGGAATCTGTTAGAACTAATAATGCGGATGAAGGAAAGAAAACGAGGAAACAAAATACGGAGGAAAAAATCGATAATTGATCGTGGGAGAAACATACGTTTTTCATACGATTCACTATCAATAGATAAATTAAAGGAAAAGACGAAAAAACGTGAAGAAACAAATATACAGAGATACCTTCGCTCCTCATTCATTCTTGTCCCTCACGTTTCACCCTGTGAGATGACTAATTCATTTTCTTCCCATTCATTCGCGTTCTTCCGTTATTCAGATCGAGAACCAGTGCCATGTACGATTTTCTGAGTCCTGAGAGTTGCAATCTAATACACTGGTATGAAAATAGACGTCCAAACAACAAGCTAGTAGATTCAATAAGTCACAGAGATCTTGCTCGACGGGGACCATTCTCTGTGTAGTAATCTACCAGGAAAAGAATGAGAGCTTGTTCATACCTCTGTCACAATATTTCAGAGTACTGCTGCATTCTATGTAGTTTGCTTACTCAACTGAAGAAATCGTCTTTACTTGAAATCTCGGTAATTGGAATCGCGTGCACGGATGAAATGCCTCCATCATGAAAGACCATCGATTATAATCGAGATGAACTAATAGAAAATCAGATCCCCTATAGAAAAATTGTTTTCTTCTCGGTTATCGAGTCTTCTCCCTCTCTTTTACAACCATCGCTTAGAGGAGGTCAAGTAGTCCATAAGATGCAGATTCCTCTCTATCTGTTCCAAATACCATTTTTACACACTTCGTACAGGGAAGAAGTCATCTGGATAAATAAATAAAAACTTATTATAATAGACAGCTATTTATATAAACACAGATGAAAGCGTTTCTACTGTGATCGGTGTGGTTCATTAATTTTCTAGGTCCCTTTGTCTCCCTCCACACACGAGTCATTAAAACATTGAAAGGACCTCTATCTGCCCACTAAATCCATATTCAAAGATCGGACCCTTCCGAAAGATAGTTTTCATCCTTGGGATCGCGACCTACAAACTAGAACTTAGGCTCAGTTTAGCTCTCCCCGGTAGAGAAGTCATGGAATTTTCCCTTTTAGAGACTCTCCGTCATCAACCTACATGGATTTAGCTTCTGCTATCACTTGGATTCTTACATTTCTCAAGGCTTTCTTTCTCCTTCCTAAAGTGGATCTACATCTTCTTCCTCCGACAACCAAAAAACCTTCTTGATTACGGCCGATGGGCGATTGTAACTGGGCCGACCGACGGCATTGGAAAGCCCATGGCCTTCGAGCTGGTCAGACGAGGTCTTAATCTGATCCTTGTTGGTCGGAATCCAGAAAAGCTGAAGCAGGTCACCGGAGAACTTAGGGCGGAAGTGCCGACTGCTGAGCTGGTATCCATCGTCTTCGACCTCTCGAACGATATCCCAGACGGGATCCAGCGACTAGAAAAGGCAATCGAGCGTCTCGACGTGGGAATTCTTGTGAACAACGCAGCAGCGTCGTACGCTGTCCCGAAGTGCCTGCATGAGGTGGACGAGGAGATGTATACGGAGCTGGTGAAGGTCAACATGGACGCGTTAACGGAGATTACCAGGGTAGTGCTCCTGCGGATGCTGAAGAAAAAGAAGGGAGCCATCGTAAACGTCGGTTCTGGGTCATCTGTAATCGCTCCGTCTTACCCCATGTTTACTGTTTATGCCGGTACCAAAGCGTGAGTCTATTCTCAACTCATTCCTTACCGTTTCACTGCTACAAGGAATTCGAATCTTGTTCTTCGTCCGAAGTTTACTAAAAGATTTATTTTCCATTACACGATGTACGATATAAGTATTTTGCTTGAAACTTTGCGTTGAGTGTCTAATTTTAAGAAAATTAATGTTCCTTATTGTCCATCATTTACGTTGATCAACTATCAAGAAGTCTTCACCATGAATACAAAGAAAAAGGGATCGATGTCCAGTGCCAGGTAATCTAGAGTTTTTAATCATGTTATTAAAACATCATTCATCGTTCAGTCTGCAACATATATACGCCCGCACATATATGCATGTATAAGAAAATTGAACATAAGACTATTTAGAATTATTTGGATTTTAAAAAAAAAATTACGTTATACTCTATTGCATGTGATTAGATTTGAGGAAATTTTAATGAAAACCTTGCATCCCTCTCCTGAAAAAGACTCTGTTGTGGTATAAAGCATGTTTTTTTCACACTGAGTATGGTATAAGTTTCGTCGACTTTCAGGTTCCATCTTACATAGTCACCAAAATGGTACCAGATAAAAGACGTTCCTTCTTTAATTCAGCGCCAGAGGAGTATGCCCTCCCAGCTGTACGTGCCATCGGATTTGGAACGACGGTTCTCCCTTACTGGAGACACTCTATACAGTGTTATTTCGCTAAACTAGCCCCGGAGAGCATCCTTAATGAATGGTTATTACGTTCTGCCATTAAGAGAAGAGAACAGTATCCAGCTTAAAGCATGAGGATTAACTTGAAGCCGAATTTCGTCGACTATCTAGTTGTGTACTAGTAATAAACTTGGTTTCTATGTGATGTATGTTGCTTGTACGTGTCTGTTTACGGGTTCAGTTTGCGATTAATTTAACTCTTGTTGTTGTGTACTCATTCAATGGTACCCATGTGCATATTAATGATGCACAGTGACAAAAGGCTGGGATGTATAAACAATCATCTTCCCTTGTTGCATTGCATTAGCTGCTGCTAAATCCACCAGACACAAATCCACCACATTAGCTGCTATCAAGGGATGTTGGGGATTGGACCCTCCTCATCCTCCCTTGTTGCACTGCAGAAATCTGATGCAAAATGCACATGAGAAACAAAGGAAACGAATGTTAAGAACAACTACACTAGATTTATGTGATTCGGAGCAACCTCATACATCCATGATAACATACCAATTCTGCATGATAAGTATGACATAATTTGGACGATTAATGCTTAATTTTATGCAAAATTAAATTTAACTATGCATAAAATAAGTGAAGCATAATTTATAATAAATTTTCTAAATACATGCTTAACTTCGTGAATTTTCCATGTTTTCTATAGCATGTGTATTTATTTATTTATATGATTACTTGAATAATAATTATAAATAAAATGTCATTTGATGTCTAAATATGAATTAAATATTTAATAATTACTTAATATGATCAAAGTAATTTTCCTGAATTTAAGAGATTTTTCGGATTTTTTGAGTATTATAAGATTTCTTTCAAGTTTAAGTGAATATTCTAAAGGTTTTTCTATTTTTCTGGAATTTTCTATTAAATCCGAATTAATATCAGTGTTTTGACTCATGATTATTTACATTATAAAAAATTATCCATATAATTTTTATGATTCATTATGCATCTCTTAACCCCTAAGTTAGCTCATGTATAAGTGAGTTTAGATTTACCAAGTTGATTTCTCCCTTATGCCTAATTTATTTATTTGTTTAAGAGGTAATGGGCTTTACTTTAATATTATGTTTCAGGTCATATTAGGCCCATGGGCCAGCTGGACAGCCCACATTAATTAAGGAGGAGGCCCAACAAGAAGGAGGCGTTTTCTCTCCCCTCAGATTAAGGAAACTGTCCACTTAAGGTGGGCGGTTCATTTCTTCCTTAATTAGAGGGAGGGGTATGTGGCACCATCTGATCAGCCACGCCCCTCTCCCTCATTAAACAACCCTTGGGACTATCTCAGGCCCTCAATCAGCCCAATCCAAGGGCTGAGATAAGTCCTAGCGTGAGGGAAGGTGGGCAGACATCATAGCAGCCGCCCACCTCCCTTAGGCTGCCCTTGCAGAGAGAAATCTAATCCAAGGGCTGTGCACTCTCCACCATGATCCAAGGGCTTAGAATGGGCACGACCAAGGGGAGAATAAAGAGCCATCTAGAGGAGAGAGAAGGCATTCCGTTCATAGAAGAGGGGTGCCTAAGAGGGAGAAGAGGAGATCTCCAAGAACACTCCTTGAGCCAATCTAGGAACTCTAAGGAGGGATCTGCTAGAGCACTCTAAACGACATATAGAAGGCATCTTTCATGTATTACATTTTATTTATAATGAATGAGTTTTATTTTCTTATTGTCTTCTCTTCTTCTTGAGACCCTCTTGGTGAGAAAGAGTTGTTCCAGTTGAAAAGTAAGTAGGGATTCGATTCTTTGATCTCTAGAGTGACACTAGGTTGATCATAGGATAGAATCCAACCCTTGTACCCTTCTCTTGCTTCTCTTGATGTATGTGGATCTCTTGATTTATCAAGGTTGATCACATTTCTAAGAGTGTACAAGGTAGGGTAGAATTAGGATACTTTAGATCCTTCTCCTTCTATGTTATTTTGCTCCTTTGATTCATCAAAGTTGAGCATTCATTGGAAGTAGAGAGAGATAAGGAGAAGCTAGGAAGTAATTTAGGAGTAGATTAATCTACTTTAGTCTTTCTATTGATCTTCTAGGTGATATAAGATCTAAGAAGATTAGAGCTTTTATTTACAGACATTAAGGTTAAGAAATTCATAATCATCCCAAATTTCACCATTTGTTTCTCAGCTATATTTTCTTCTCTTGGTGACTGAAAAATCATCAAAAAAAATTCATCTATTCTCCCTTTAGTTTGCCTAAGTCAACTTTCTTCTATCTCCTCATCTCATTCTTCATCAAAAATTTAATCTTGATTACAAGTTAAATCTTACCTTAGTTTAGACAACTCCTTGTGGTTCAACTCAAATACTCCTTAAATTATACTTATTAGTATCATTAGGAAGATATCCAAACATTATTAATTTTATTTTTGACACTCCTTAATTAAGACATTTCAGAGCGATCAATCCACACTCACAAATTGAGGCTAATGTATCAAGAATCATCTTGATACATGCCTAACATGGTATTTTTTGATTACTTTATATATACCATACATCTTTAACTAGAGTTTTACATTGCATATCTTTACTTCTTATACACTTAGGGACAAAAGACTAGTTATTGGCTATCCACATTAAATATAGAATTAACTAGTTGGAAAAACACATAATAGGTCTTTGTTCAGAAATTCTATCTCTTAGAAAAAACTTGAAACATGAGAGAACTTATATGGACTTTCAATCAAAGGCCAAGAGAAATTTTACATAAGACATGAGAAAATTTTAAAGATTTATTTAGAAAGTGTCATCATCATACTATACCTAAGTGGTAGCTCAATAGAATTTTTTATGATGAATTATTATAATAATATAGAAATATGATTGATTCTATATGTGGAGGAGCTTTTATAAAGAAAATCCTTGAAAATTTATAGCCTTTATGAGAATTTAAGTGAAAATTTTAGACATCAAACTTTTTTTGAGTTGTGATAGAAGAGATAAGAATTATAGAATTTATGAATTACATTATCAAGATAATTCTGATTTAAGAAATGAGGTTAATCACATGAATTAAAGATTAAAAAAACTTGATTTACTTAATAACAATATTAGAAAGCCTCCTAACCCTCAATTTAATTCAAATAGTATGTTCTATGTATGATGAAAATGATTATTCCGAATGTCAACACTATAATTTAGATCAATCATTTCAACCTATGTAAAAAAAAGTGTAAGTAGCCAAAAATTTTAATAGAAATAGGGAGCCTTTTTCTAATTCTTATAATCATAATTGGATGAATAATTTTTTGTAGAGAGATCCAAATAATATTCAAAATTCAGAACTACTTAGATCTAATTTAAATTCTCAATTTTGTTCTAACTAAAAAAATAGATTTCAAAACAATCAGTCCTCTTAAACCCAACCTAATGCTATGGAAATGATGCAATAAATGAGCCAAATGATGTAAAAAACTATGAATCAAATAATGTTATAGCATAAATAATTTATGAGGCACTTAAGAATAAGAGAGAAGAAGGATAGCTTACCTAGTCAGCCTATAGAAAATCCAAAGAACCACCTAATAATAGAATTTCAGTAAGAGTCTAGTAACATGAATTAGGAAAAAACTCTATAAAATAAAAATATTAAGATAGTGAATGCATTATGAAGTGAGAAGATTTTACTTGATTCTTATCCTCAACCATTAGAAGAAAAGTAAAACATGGACAATCCAAAATAAAATCAAATAGGAGTAGAAGAATATTTAATAGAGGCTACTAAGGAAATTTCGAAAGAAAAGACAATCATTCCATTTCCTAAAGCACTAGAGCCTAGACAAAAAAAGATATTAGAATAACACTAGGCCCACTAGGCCCATTTTGGACTTATTCTCTCCACATCTTTATTCTTCTTCCACAATCTCTACCTCTCCTTCTCTCTCTTTCTTCTCTTTTTCTATATAACTTCATGTAATCCTCTTTTTCAATCATCAAATCTAGGATTTTCTCTTCCTCTTGTCAACATGGTATTAGAACCCTAGGGTTTCTTTACTACTGTCACTTTGCCTCCTCTCTCGAGTCACCTATCTTCTCTTGACGCAATCTCCTATAGTACCGCCTTGCATGCCTACCTAATGTCCAATTTGTGTACCCCAGCACACCTATCACACCTCCTATCATGTGCATTTGGGTGCTTGTTTGGCACTTGTCCAACACCATCCTACATGCTTGGACAACATGTCATTGAATATATTTCTGAATATACTAGAGTTTTGAAAGAAATGTATATACCAAAAAAGGCACCTAGAATAAATCAATTACTATACAAATTGAGAAATACTAGTGCTCCTTTAATTTCATGTGATATTGGTAGATTTATTTTTTAAAATGCATTACTTGACACCAATACTAATATTCATTTAATACCTACAAGTATTTGTGATAAATTTAACATTTCTGATCTTAAACCTTCTACTATTACTTTACAACTTGCTGAAAAATCTACAAAACGTCCTAAAGATATTTTTAAAAATATGATCATGAAAATTAAAGGGTCTAAATTTTCAGCTAATTTAATAGTGTTTGAAATATATTTTAATGAATATTTTTATGATGTCTTAATCATCTTAGGGTGACCATTTTTGCATACAACAAAGATGAATATTGATTTTCCCATAGGTATTATAAAAGTTTTATGTGGAAAACAATCAATAAAAATTAAAATTTTTGAGATATCAAATGATCTTAAGAAATCTCAAGTATATGATTGTCATACTATAGATCTTTTAGATGGTTTTGATGATCCAAATGTTATTGATGACAATGTGCTGGAAGAATTATAAATTTGAGAGAGAAGAAAGAGGAAGATCATTGAAACTTAGAGTTGAAACCTCTTCTTTCTAGCTTAAAATATGTAGTTTAGGAGCAAAATAATTTATTTATTATTATTATTGTGAGTGATTTCAGTGATGAATAGGAAGAAAAATTGTTAGATGCACTTTTAGAAAATAAGAACACTATTAGCTGAAAAATGAATGATCAATATTATGAGTGTATGCATAAATAGTATATATCCAAAAGAAGGGGCTAGAACTAACAAAGAA